GGGGGGGGGGTGACGAAACGCCGCTTCGGTCGCTGTCGGCTGCCGGTGTTATGCCGAAAAAGGCATCCCTGCCGTAGAATGCATGCCTGTCTCTAAATGACCGATTGGTCGCTGATCTGAAACAAGTTGAGCTACTTTGTCGAGTTAGGCTACTGTAGTGCTAAATGATAGCCCTAACCCTAACCCTAACCCCCAAAAAACCCCTAAAACCCTAACCCCCAAAAAACTCCTAAAAGCTCAACTCATTAGAACACCGGCATGCATTCTATGGCAGGGATGCCTTTTTCGGCATAACACCTGTGCCTTTAAGGCTTCACATTCTCAGTACTCCGCCTCTCCAATTGCCTTTTGTTTGTATTTTTCTTGGAGAAGAAACGAATTGGCGACTGCATCGGACACAGTTACCAAGCGTGAATGTAAGGCAGCTGGTGGTGGGGTCTGCTGCTGCTGGAGGTCCTTCAGCACCTGAGCTCAGGGGCGTTACTAGAGATTCTGGGCTCCATGAAGGCATATCACATTCCCCCCCCCCGTTGGAATCGTCCTAACTTTGCCCCGTCTTACGGTGCCCCTGCGTGACATCGATACGTTTATATTGAAAAGGAGGTACCATTACAGGGCTCCTGCAAGCGGAAAAGCGTCCAAGCAGAGACAATATAGGCTGCTATTTAAATACTGGATGTTTCTGCGTTATTTCCGTCGTGTCCTCATCACGGTCATGGATACCGCATGTCTTACGTGGTGTGCATCTCCTAGCCCTCATGGGCTCTGATTAAAGCAATGTTGCATTGTTAAATTACATGTGTTAAGTAATTGGATAATTGGGAAAAAAGGTGTTTGGTGATGAAATTAAGTTTTCAGGGCCATCGGAGGGGGGTGTTCCACCAAGCAGGATTTCTCAATAAAAATAATAGGCCGACGTTTTATTTAAAGGCCTTTCAAGGCCCTTAAGGGCACCTTACAAAAAAACAATCCACACAACATACCAACATACTTCTGTACGTGTATCAATACGTTCAAAATTACTTTAATCAGATAAATTGGATATTTTCTAATACGCAGGAAAGGCTTCTGTATGTTGCTATCCTGAATTAAACAGAAACCCAATCATGTTATATTGTGAATAAATATTATAGCTGAATTAATCTGATTGTTTTTCTCCTTCTTCTTATTGTTTGTAAATACATCGCACCATTTTTAATAATTAAATGAATTTCCCCAAAACGCTGGAACAATATAGCTAAATGTTAAACCTTTCAAAAACTGACATGCATGTATTAGCCTTGTAGCTACACCAATCTGCGGAGCAGGAGAATAAGTCAAAGGTCAGCAGGCGAGTTTCAGAGGGATTGCTGCCATTACGCGTGTGTCCTATTAAATTTACGTTGTACACAGTAAATCTGACAGCCTGCAAATGTCGCCCCAGTGTCCCCCTCCGGGAAACAAAGAGCCCTAGTAATGAGTTAATCCACCACCCCGCCAACTGGTAATGAGTTAATCCACCACCCTGCCAAGCTTGATTTTGGCCGATGGGGACGCGCGGGGGACAATAACGGCCATGTCACAAGGGTCACGGCAGATTCCTCTTTACCCGATCCCCTCGCTCTTCAGGCTGCAGAGTACTCTGAGGGCCAAAATTAGCTCAAAATAAAAAAATGCTAAAAAGCTCAGACGTAATGAAATCCTTCCATGGGATCTTTCACGTGAACGCTGATTATTTTAGTGTGAGATGGTGCTACATTTAAATATCCAGTTCATGAGATAAAAATGATGCATCAGAAACAGATTATAAATGAATATTCTCAGATTTGGCCACATAATGGGGGGTGACTTATTTCTGTATCATGCCCCCGTTCACCAGGTTATCGGCAGCGACTCAATAAATATCAGACTCTTTGAGTGGCAGGTTGGGCACAACAAGGGTTGAATGTGAGGGAAATGAAAATCACCACAATAAGTTTGAGAATTTTGCAGTGGCACAGGGAATCTTCCGGAAAGGCTTCCTAAGTACCAGTTATGTAAGCATCATTTAGGACCTCTGAACAGTTACCTTTCAACAGGCTTTCAAGAGTAATTTGGTTAGTTCTGGAATAATTGGAAAAGTTTCGGGTAAAATTAAATTGTTACATATTTTCACGATTTTAATTCATTTCAAAGATTAGATTTGGATTGTCTGAGGACTTCTGGCAGAAGTTAATTTATTTTAAATAATCTACATTATAAAGTAATGGGCATTTATGTTAATCTTGCTGAAAGCAATTAATTACGGTCTGTTTTAGAACAAACTCACCATGGGCAGAAAGTAACATGCCAGTTCAGGACATGGACACTGTGTGATTCTTTTGGAAGAAATTAAATTTCAAATCCCAGTGTGGGTGGGACTGGGTTTAAGTTTAACTTAATGGGAGCCAGAACACAAATATATTAAATCGGTGATTGACAGCCTACAGCATATCACCACCCACTCTGGGTTTCGTGCATCATTTATTGTTCTACCATGATCTATAATTAAGTAGTTTTGAGAAATGAATGTGTATGTCTAGGCTTTCTGAATGATTTATATCAAAAGCATATTTTGGCAGTACGTGATGTAAAAATGCTCTTGCTTTACACGAAGTTACAGGATCTTTGCACGTACCAAGTACTGAATTTTTTGAGGCACTCTAATGAGAATGATTATCGGTTTAGATTTTCCTTGCAGCAGAGTTTGGAGCAAACCCTTTGATTTTTAAGTCTTTCACACAGGAAATGTTATGATACATACATGTTTATCAGTAACGTCACTGTGATTATTACTGCTGCAAATTTGCTTCCAATCCTAATCTTCCGTTAATCTTAAACCGCCTGACTCAAAGCCTTGATTTACTTCAACAACTGCTGTTCAGCCGGTTGCTCGGCACAGTTAATATGAGTCAGATGGCCTCGAAACATGGCTGAAAAATGATCACTCCTGTGGATTTACGGTAATGCCGTTAAACTGAGCATGACCAGTCAAATTTCAGATGAAATTAAACGGCTATAAAAAAATGAAAAATCTTGCTTTAACTGAGGTCAGTCGTGCATTACTGAGCTGTAGGAAACAGGAAGTATGGAAGACCAATCAGAATTTGGGAGATTAGTAGTAAAGCGGCTGGTGCGAGTCAATCGCTCCCCATTTGCCAGCCCCATTCTGAGCAGCTGTTGAGGTCAACAGTATCTATTTAGTTTTTAATTAAATACAAAAGGTTGTTCTGTT